ATTACACTTTTCTAACAAACACAGCCACACACAGCTCTAGGTTACACTTTTCTAACAAACACAGCCACACACAGCTCTAGGTTACACTTTTCTAACAAACACAGCCACACACAGCCTCTAGATTACACTTCCTAACAAACACTGCCACACACAGCTCCAAATAATTCTTTCCTAACAAACAAAGCTATACACAGCTCTAGGTTACACTTCCTAACAAACACAGCCACACACAGCTCTAGATTACACTTTTCTAACAAACACAGCCACACACAGCTCTAGATTTGTTAGGAAAGTGTAAAAGAGCTGTGTATAGCTTTGAGGTTACACTTCCTAACAAACACAGCCACACACAGCTCTACATTACACTTTTCTAACAAACAAATAAAGCTATACACAGCTCCAGGTTATCCTTTTCTTGATAACACAGTTATATCCAGCACCAGGTTACACTTTCACAACCAGCACAGTTACATACAGTTAAAGTTACATTCCTAACAACAAAACACAACTCTAGATTAAGCTTTCCTAACAAACAAGATACATACATCCATGCTACACTTGACCAGCAAGCAGTATGTGAACTTATCCAGAAAAGCTGTTCCATTCTGACTTTTCAGACAGGCTTGTTCTTCATACAACTGTTGATTAGCAGCATTTTCCACTGTTCTCTTTTTATTTTGACTTCCAGACACCATCATGGCTCTCACAGCACTCCAGTCATTTAAAAGTCTTTCTAGAGCTCGCCGAGAAAATCGGGGTGGTTCTAAATCATGGTCAGGCATCTCTGTTTCTAAGTGTTTCATAGATTACCAAAACTGTTTTATACATCAATTCACAAATCTTTTAATTTTCAATATTCTTACAGAAACTGTTAAGTACAAAATCTACCAATTTTGACATACAAATGAACACTATTCTGTTTTTATAGTCTTATAATTAAATGTCTTGAATCATTATAAGGAAGAAGTTTTCCGTTCATCAATAACATAACATCTAAGCTGATACTATATTTCTCAATCAAAACGTCCAGTTTATCACAAACTTTTGTAATCATTGAAAATATAAATAATTTTATATACAAATATATTATTCATTTTCAACTTTTCTTACAAACATTTAGTAATACATATATTATAAATCTGCATTGAAACGTCTTAACTTTAACAAAAAATTTATTCACCCTGTTCTGTTGCTGGAGTTTTTCTAGGGGCAGATGGACGAGGACGTGAAGGTCTGTACTGTCGTTGTTCAACAGCTTGACGTCCCACTGTCTGGACAAGAAACAAAAGGATGCTCTCCCCTCTGGATACAAGTAAAAGAGTATACAACATTTCTAGCATTATCTTTATTGACTCCACTTTTAGAAAAACTAACAGCCTTGGGGAAAGTTATCAAGCTCTACAAACTTATAACATTACTTTTTCACCTAGAAAAACCTATACAAAATGTTCTAACCTCTTTTATGAGTTTCAATAAAAAACATGATTCTAAGTTTAGCTTACGATCCACTATCTGTACATTAAAAAAAAAAAAGACTTTTTATTTGAGCATAAACATGGTGATGTCACATGACTTTTAACAACCACGTTACTGTTAGTCCCATAGTATGCACTAACATGTTACTACTGACCTTACTCCTTAGGCATGAATTATTTCATAAGTAGCCTTACAGCTGACAATATACCACAGCATAACTACTGACCTTAATATCTAGGCATACAGTAACATGAAACAAGGACTCTTAGATTCACAGTCTAGCACACAAACCACTATGCCATGCCTGACCATGTGTTATCACTTAATGCTCTTAATAAATACTTACACATATATATATATATGAACCATGTTACTATAAATGAAGCTATCCTATATGATTTCAGTAAATTAAATCCACATCACTAATGAACTTCTTCTATAATTTAAGCAAACGAAAATCATGACTAATTAAATCACCTGCTGTTGGGATTTGCTACCAAGTCTGTCTCTGATATTAGCCGGTTCAAAAGCTGGTAGCGAGCATTCTGGTGTCCAGAGATTAATGCTTTACACTTGCACTTTTCCCAGCAATCACAATAAGCTGTTGGAGATGTGCGCTTTAGCTTGCAATCATGACCTTTGTGACACACACGAGCACATTCAGTACAGCAACAGAGTGACCCAGTCAAGCCACATGTTCGACATTCAAAAATATCCTGAGTAAAGACAACATAAGTTAAAAACAAGTTTAATCAACCCACAAGACTGACAGAAATATCATAAAAGCTATTAAACGAACACTGTAAACCTACAAGTTCCACATTAATATTTTGGGATAAAAATTGTTTATGTGTGTTTTGCTTTCTTTGATGTGCCTACTTTAACTATTACTTGTTATAAAACTGTTTTTTCAAGACATTCTTTTCAAATTTCTCTCTCAAACAACTTTTTTACACTTAAACGAAAATCCTATAAGAGAAACTAAAGTGATTATCATATAAAACCAGAGAAAGATTACAATGTTGAAATGCTACTCAAATAACAAAGTAATTACTAGTTTAATTTATGAAATGAATTAAATGACATGAGGTGTTATGAATGGAAACTACTAATGAACTTTACCAAATGATTTACAACTATTTACTATAATATTTTTACTGATAGAAACTAGTTCTTTAAACTGTTCCCACTGTCCATGCAATAAACATTTAGTATTTCAATTTGCAACAGATTAAAGCTTATAACACAACTTTTTTCTCTTTTCCTCTATATTAGAGGACTTTAAAACAGCTAAATACTGGCCTATGATAACTTTATATCAGTTGAAAGACCTCACGTTATAAAGAAAAATAGGTATGTTTATATAAAAATTTCTCTACAGAAGTCTCACTTGATTGATGTGCTCAGCCCCAGTCCAAGTAAAACTACAAGTATCATTACAACACAACACATGGAGTGGAGAGTCATCTGGGTTGGAACCTCTGGGATAAATCATACTCATAAGAATCTTTCTCTGAAGCTCCACATCAGAAGCTACTTCTTGGGCGATACGCTGAGCAGTGTCTAAAAGGAGGAGTGCAGCTGGGTATGCTCGTCCAGCGATAGCTGACATGAATGGAGTGCACCCTTGACCATCCCTAAAAAAAGGGGCAAGCTCTATATCACCGAAAAGTACTTAAAAATACACAAGGATAGTGCTATCTATGTATGTACTTACGCTAAAAACAAGCACACAAATTTTTTTATCATTGCCCAATAATAACCTACAGCCTGATGCACATTACATATGCAATAAAAAGAGTAACATACAGGCTTGTCTGTCACTGCAAGTAGATTGAAAAAATTACAAACAATGCTAAGTCTGCATATTTATTTTTTAAAAATTAGTGATTATAAATATGGTAGAAAACATAATAATAAAAGACATGTTCATGATTTTATTTACAATAAAGTGTAAAACATATGACCCTGGCCACGTTTATGCTGTGAAAGAAACCTGTCCATATACTAAAAAAAATAACACGCAGTCTTAACCCCTGTTAATGTTTTAACAGGTAGTTAAGATAGACATTTTTTTTCTTTTCTTCATCTGTACACACACACACATACATAAATATATAATGCAAAAATTAATACACCCTTTCCCATGTCTGTGTATATCACATGCCAAAAATATCACCTTTAATCTCTTCACATCTTTATACTTGTGAATAATAATAATAACACAAAGCCCTAATCATATCTGTACAGATGGTAAGAAATAATAATATAATGTTGTTTCCTTGTCACTACACGAGATAAAAAATAGTCTTCATATGAGAAAAATAATAGCATGTCTGAAAATGGTAAATATACATAAAACCTATCATATCTGTACTATGTTATAAAGAAAAAAATTTCAAAAGTGGAAGTAATTGTAAGGATGGCAAATATCAAGCCTTCAAAAAGAATACAAACAAGATAGAAGGGATGGCATTTGCATCATCCCTAGAGAATGGCACACTATGTAGTACAATGTTAACAGACAAAAATAAGATAAATTAAACTTGATTGTGATTGAATAGTTACATATATATATTGCTGTATTAATACTTGCCTGTTCTTTTATGGAGGGATGATGCAAATGGCATCCCTACTATCTTGTTTGCATTATTTTGGAAGGATTGATAGTAGCCATCCCTACATTTACTTCCTTTTTGAAAAGTTTTTTATTTACTTGTTTTTTAATGTAGTGTTTCAATAGACATAGGAAGGTTGTATTTATAACTAAGTTCTAAATACAATGAGGTTCCAACTGTAATATTTATTGTTTATCTATTATTGGCTGGTAATTATGGTTTCACCCCGTCTTACGCTTTTTAAAGGAACAACAAATTTCAGTAAGAAAGCTAACTTCACGGGGTAATGATAATATCATTTACACTAGAATTATGATTTTTTTAAATTACTACTAGTTATTAATAATACCTATAAAAGTGGATACTCCATTTGAAAATATGTCACCTCAGTGAAATTGGTTGACACCATTGTTTTGGTTTTTGAGTTATCATGTAATAAAAGAAACAGAAGAAAAAACAAGAAATTCAAATTTTCTGCTATGATATTTAGACATTCCCAGAACTTGTGACTCAGTCATTACATAGATATTGTTATAAAAGGAAACAATATATAGTACTATAAAGTTCTGATGACCTACTGAAGATATTTAAAATGTCATTTCAATGAACAATCCAAGCCAACCCTATATAGGCAGTGCTACCGCTTGCCTGATATAAAAAACAGTAATAGAATATAGCCCTGAAATATCTGTTCACATATTTAAAATTAAAAACACAAGATTCTGTTCTTGCCTGTATGTGAGTAAAGAAAATGCAGCTCTGACATCATTTGTGCATGAGATAAAAAGTTTAAAAGAAACTGGGTTATGAATAAACTTATATTTAAAATTTTCAGTATTCACACTGTTGGGGAAGAGCTCATTCACGTAATCCAAAAAATAATACAGCCCTTCCCAAGTCAGACTTATAAGCAGAAATTTATGTAACTGAATTATTTCTGGAAGTTTTTTTTTAATAATTGGAGTGCTGTGGCTCTAACATGCTATACAACTAAAGACAAACCTGGCAGAAAGAAGATCTTTCAAGCAAGGTCTCAATACTTGTGACTCACATAATAACCATAACACAGTCAAGCTACACAACTAAAGATCAAAACTTGGCAGAAAGAACATCTTTCAAGTAGGGTCTCAATACTTGTGACTCACATAGTAACTACAATACAGTCAAGCAATACAACTAAAGACAAACCTGGCAGAAAGAAGATCTTTCAAGTAGGGTCTCAATACTTGTGACTCACATAGTAACCACAACACAGTCAAGCCAGTTCCACGACGCTCTCCAACATCAACACCTGGAGCTTGGTTTGCTAATGATGACACGGGACCTACATAAAATAAAAATTAATATGCACGAATCAAGACAAAGCTGAAGCTTAGTCAAATAACAAAACAAACAGTAACTTTTGCATAATGTTAGTGTAAAAATGCTTTAGCAGACAGTTTTCTGAGATATATTAAGAACATATGACAGATAATGACACAAAAAACAGGTATATAAAAAATGTAAACATGGTTGTTGAAAATTTCTTTAATTCATACACTCAAACTGTAAATCAGCTAAACAAAACCTGACACAATATAAACATTACTTCATTACTATTGACAATCGAAATAATGTAATTTTGAGGCAAATATTAATATTTTTCATAATATTAAATATATTAGTTTACATTAGATAATAAAGTGTACATCTTACAAGTTTAAAACTGAAGTATTAAGCAAGACCATCCAATGGAGCTTTCTGTCCTTCACAGTTTAGAAGATATTATTAAGCTTAGTGCATATTATTATAAACATAAATATAAGAAAAAAAATTTAGATTTTATAAAGACAAGTAGGGATCAATATATACATAACCTAATATAGAAAGTTTTAATGCTACAAAAAGTGTTGAAACAAGAAAGTCAAAACTACAAAATCTGACTTACTTAAAATGTAAAAAAAAACTTATCACTACTTGGGCAAATCACTGTAATTATGTTAGTCTGTGAGAACAATTGATTAGTTGAATGTAACTGATTAGTGAGCCTGATGATTAATCTATTAGCAAATTCCACTAATCACCCAGCTCTACTAGCAGTAGTAATCTATGGTAGAAAAGAATTCTTGAGCCTGTAGATACATAAGCCTGAACAGGTGTACATAGGCCTATTAATACTGTTTCATTACATTTGTATCAATCATCACTAAGACAGAGAAAGTGTACTATATCAGTATATAGCAATAAAAAAGCCATTAACAAAATCTTTTGTGTCAAAGGCCAGGAAGAGGTTCCCTCTTTTCCAGGACCTTTTCAAAATTCCACTCTGACTAATTTTACTTCTACATAACTCAAGAAACACACTTTCTGTCTGCTATTGCCAACAAGGTTAATTTAAAAAAAAAATTAACATCAAGGGAATATTTTCTACTTCCAAAGGAAATATCCACTTTTATTCACATGGCCTGTTATGTTAAGGCACAAAGCTGGAATATAAAATAACCTGGTTCAATAATGGAGACCATTAGATAACCCTTTGTTGTCAACACAATTAAATTTATAAAAATGAAGATATTACAAAAAAAAATCATTTTTTGGAACTGTATGTTAAAGATAATACAATGCATTAATATATAGACAATCCATCAAGTCAGTTGAATAAAGATTGAGGTTTCTATCAGTGTATACCATAATTTCTTAACTCACCTGATGTATTATATGAAGGATCAGGTGGCCAAATCAAAGTTGGAATAGGAACATCTGCATCTCGATCTGTTTCTCTCGATTCCAATCCTGGTAAGTTACGTGTTGATGAACTGGCTTTTCTCATCATTTCTCGCAAGCAGATACTGGTCCAAAAATCCATTCAGTAAAAAACACATTTCCACAGTTGCATTAATCTTTAAGCTACATCAAAATGCTACACAATCAAAACTGCTTTTTACTGAGAACTTTTTTCAATAGAGCAATTTTCTTGGTTATAAATTAATTTAAACTAGATAGCTGACAAAAGCACATTTATCTCTTCAGCTTTCAAGATATATACATTTGCCTACATTACAGCATTACTAGGAATCAAAACTTGAAATATAAAGAAATACACCTCTTAATCCTATAAGTGTTTTCCAATATACTTACTTTTAGCTTGTCTACTTTTGTGAAATATACTTTTTCCCCCCTTAAATAGAGAGATCAATATACTGTAAACTAACCAATTTGATGTATAACCAACAGAACCCTCAATTACTATTAAATTATTCCAAACTTATTGTTTTGTATTTTTGTTGTATAAATACTGCAATTAAGGATGTTGATTATAAATGGTTTAATTATGTCTTTTGGTAGCCAACAAGTTTCATAACTTGTTTTCTTAATACTAAATAGTGGCCTTAGAGTAAAATATCAATGTCAGAGTATAATGATGATGAAACTGCTGGTAATGTTATGCTTATTTTTCATTGAATAATTTTTATTTACTGATAAATAAAGTTGTTAAGGGGGGGGGATGCCAATGTATTAGCCTGCAAAGTGACCTTAAGTTGTAAAACAATTTTGTAGAAAAAAATTACAAAAGTATAAATCCCAAAATATTTTCAAAATGTAATCAGTTGTTTTTTTTCTCACTCTATAGAGTGACTTGAGTAGATGTAATGTCTAATTATTAAATATTGCTGTATTGGCATTTTTAGTTCATTGTTTGCTTGGTCTAAGATTTTGAAGTTTTTTATTTAAAAGAAAAAGATGAAATGTTTTCACTTTGGAGGTAGATATTAATATTTTATAAGTAATGATTTAGACTGTTTAAAAGGGCTTGTTAGATTCTGTATTGTGTGTTGAATGGAAAATTTCCACTTATGTTTGAATTCTGCAGTATGATGTCAACCTATGTTGTTATTTTCTCCTTTCTTACTAGCTAAGAAGTCATGAGTTTTATTACATACTTTTTACACTATTTGGAAAATTTGTTTTAGGAATGTACATAATGAAAGATACACAGCTTGGTGCTTTAACAGTTTTTTAAAATCACATTAGGTTCCAAGCTCTCATAGTGGAAGGATGTTTCTTCAACAGCTGAATTTTACTGAAGAATTAAACTTAACTCTTAAATATTAAAAGTTAGCCATCACAAAAGTTGTATAGCTGTACAGTGTTGTCTTTGCTTTCTAAGTGATTATCATTTTCTTCTAATCTACACTTTAAGTATTGGAGTAGCTGGACTTAAGGCCCAAGGAATAGCATTTTAGGTTCTCAAATTTTCCGAGACCAAATGATAACTGACATTAGCTACAGGTGTTTTGTTGAAATCAATAATAACTTTTGTCCTTAATTACACATCTTACACTTTTTTTCCAGTAAAAAGACACAATACAATCAGAAATTTTCATAAACTTCCAGTGGATGATGAAATATACACAACAATCACTATTTGATTCTAAATTGGGAAATATTGTTGAATTCAAGTGATTTACTGAACTGGTGTGTTTGCATGAATACCACACTTTCTAGAATTCAATTTCATACTGTCTTACACTTCTAGTCATTATCTATCAACAACATATTTCAAGTTTTAAGTCTTGAAAATAAATAATTTATATTAATTTTCATGAAAGAAGATTTAAAAAAATGTTTACCACTTATTCAATCAAGTTTTTTGCTTAATTGAAAATGTCACTTCAATAATCCCATATTTATTGTATATCCTTTGAACAATTCCCTTTCTATTATACTATAGTTATAACAACAAATTCCTGTAACTACAGGAAAACTAACAAAAATAAGAGATTTTGCATAGCTCAATATTAGATCTGTCAACTGATTATCAGCAAGAGAAGCCACAAAAAATTGAAAGTTTAGTTTATATTATTGTACTTCAAATTAGCTAAACTGAGGCAAGTATAGCCTTATGACCATTTGCAATATGCTCTTTTTATGTTATTATAAATTTTGTTAATAAAACCATCTGTTAAGTTAGTTTGGTTTTACATATAAGCAAAAATCAGAATTTTCTTAAAATTATACACCACAGTGTCAAATCAAAAAAGTTTCAAGATTCTAAGTTACAAATTAGAGTAAAAATTTGGTGAGAATCTCAGTTAAGAATAAGCAAGTTACTTACTTTCGTGATGACAAGCTGCCAGCAGATAAGAAGTCAAAAGAATCAAGTCCACTACTGTTGCCATCTGAAATGCATGTACCCAAGAAGGTTGTCAAGAAACAAACATACAAAAGGAAAAACATCAATTAACCCTCTCACCCAGAGTACCCTTTACTACATTCAAAATTTTATGAAACTACTTTTTGTTTGTTATACCAATGAAAACAGCATAAAATATTAGCTAATCATCCATATTTTAATAGTATACAAATTTTTTAAGTTCTTAAATCCACAAGGCAATATTTAAAAAAATCCTGAATTTCCACTAGTGTGACCCACGTGACACATTTTGTGTTAGCATGTCATCATCCCTGCTTTATCCACCACCCCTTGAAAAAGTACGAAATTGAATGTAAAATACTCTATAAAATCGTTAAATGCTCAAACAAATCATAATTTTTAAAGCCTTCAATTTTGTTTGGTTACAGAGCTATCAAATAGAAAATCAGACCCCTCCTGCCACACCCACCTGTCACATCCTCTCTTTTACAATTTGTTGATAGTTCTCTCTTACGTTTCATTATATAGTACCCATAACCAATAGAAAGTCAAGGTTTTCATCTATCAAATGACATATTGTATAACGTTGTGTTCTGAACAGATAATCATGATTATACTCAGAATAGTAGCAACATCATTACCATTGGAAAGGTAACGACTAACTTGGATGAATTTGTAAAGGCTCTTGTCGCATAGTCAGAAAGCCAGGAAAATTTTAAGAGGTAAGTGAAGTTGCCTACTTTTTGCATGTTATTAGTCTATATTCTCTGGTGCATTATTTAATTAAATAAAAATTTTTCACTAAAAAAATATGATTTTTGGTATGTGAAAGACATAATATGAACTGAAAGACTGCCAAATTTTGTGAAGATATACACACTATATTGAAAGTTAGAAGTATTAAATCTATAGACTTTAATCGAGTACAAAGAGGTCATGTGGTCAGTCAAATTGACCAAGCCCATGTGGAAAGAGTTGAGCTTTACTCATGATAGTCCATGAGTGGCAGTCAGGTAGCGTGTTTATCACCCTGTAAGTGCACCAAGCCTGTGTTGAGAGAGTTAAATCAGTATCTTAAGTAATATAAACTCAGTTATACTTATTATGTTGTTTTGTTATTCACAGTGTTTCGTGGAAAAAGGCGGAATTTTGCAGGATTTATATGGCGTATTTTACTAGATGTTCATGACTTTACCAAATATATACTAAAATATGTTCAGTAAAATAAATATAAAAAATGAATTATTCTATAGACATACAAGCTATACAAATATAATTTGTGAAAATCAAATTTCACAGTTAATTAAAACTAATGAATATCAATTTACTTTATGAAATATGCAGAAAATGAAGAAACAAACTAACCATCAGAATATCAAATTAAACTTCCAATTTATAAATTTACTTATCAAATTCTACATGTTTGATAAAGTAATATATAATTTGATACATAAACTTCGAATTTCTGAGGGTTTTTTTATGTTTTAGCTCTTTCCATATGGGGACAGTGAATTACACCAAATTTGAAGCCCCAAAGTAACCATGAAATTGGGCAAGCTTTCAGTAAACATTACAAGTATTATGTACACAAAAAATTGGATTTTTTAATTAACTTTTTCTACTAAACATTTGTCCATGAATATATGGAGTCAAAGTGTTTACTGCTTGAAGTGCAAAGCGATTTTAACACAAAAATGAAAAATACTTTTGTGAACCTCTAAAAACTCCTAAACAAATATCAAACGTTTTTTTGTTTTTTTCCCAGTTAAATTTTATATTTCATACCATAACTTTATATGGACTCAGTCAATCTCGCCGACTTTGTAACCACCATAATAATAATGATAAAAAAAAATCAATCAATCTAAATTACCATTTTTTTCCATTCTAGACTGACCGCAAATTGTGACAGGAAACATTTGTTTATCCTTAATAGCTTAAGGCTCAAAACAGTTTACATCTGTTTCTACTTAATTTTATTGCTTTGTTGCCCTTTGAACTGTGTATCTAATAATTCTGCAACACAAGTTGTAAATCACTCGGCAAAGACAAAGTTCAAGTTACTGTACTGAACAATGCAATGCACGAGATACTCACGAGCATATTTTTTTCATTATCTTACCTGATCTAACTGTTTATACCCTAATAAGTTTCTAGTTTTTATATTTTAGTTAGTGTTACAACAATAAATAAAAAATATACATAAAAACAAGAAATGTGACATTCACATTTGATCTCTTATTTTTTGCTGTCAGTTGCCAATGAAATTTAAGTCTTTTTTTATACTGATGGTATTAGTACACTAAATTTCTATTTGCTTAAATAACATTCCTAAGAACACAGAATATTAACACACCCAAAACAAACAATATCCTAAAACTAATACAATTTAACTGGCTTTCGAACTATGACATAAGAGCCTTAAAATAATTCTGTAATCTAACCAATCTGAACACTGTGAGAGAAACTTTCAAACTGAAGAAAAAATACACAATATTCTGTACTGCAAACAATGTAATATAATGCATCATTTGACATAATAAAACTTGGCATTTCTATCGGTCATAAATTATATAGTATTACACATCAGAGAAAATTAATGGCAACTGGCTCTGGTTTTCTAGTTTGTGGCTCTGTAAACAAATGAGATTGAAGGCTATAAAAATTAGACTTTGCCTTAGTCATACCTATATTATTACAAGTAAATTATGTCAAATTCTGTACTTCAGAAAGTAGTTGTAAAAAAATTAAGAGAAGAGGGAAGACCTAGAGAAGAAATATCACAACTGTCACAGTAGGGGAGATTGAGAATTTTTAAAAATATTTCCTTATAAAATTAAGAGCTTAAAACTTATATAATATTGAAATTTGATTTAACAATTAAGTTTTGATGCCAAGTATATTTATATATATGTTGATAATACAGTAGTTTATTTAAATTTTGAATATAACTTTGTAAGAAGTCATGATAGAATCACGTTAGCTACCCATAGCAAGAGGGTTAAATACTACACCCACAGCTCATCATTTTTTTTTACTGCAACATCTAATATATTAATAGGATAACTACATCTTCTAAAATTGCTATTTTTCTTATTAAATCATTTTTGCAGAGAATGAAAGATATATGACACATGCTACTTCAGAATGCCCATATGGCTAATTTTGAAATATTGTTTTAATATCTAACCGTTTAATGAATAACTACAGCTTTAATTCTGTTTTTAGTCTAGAGCACTTAGTGGTATCAATATCAGTATACAAAGATAAATAAGTCTTATAATTATCACAAAGAGGGTTTCAATAACACAGTAAAAAATTGTTCCTTGTTCAGTCATCATCACAATGTTTACTGTTTTGTTAAACTAGTATGTTTAAATTATTTGGTAAATGTTTAACTGCCAATAATTGTTTCAATGTCTGTGCACCATTAAAAAAGCAAAAATTATAAGTGAATGTATTTATTCAACACAAGCTGAATGCCCATCATATGACGAAAAATAATGATTAGTTATTACTTTCAAAATTGTATCTAAATAAATGTTTTATGAACATATTTTCTAAAAATCAATTATAATCTAGTCACAATATATGTATGGAAAATAACTATCGTATTTTTATGTACATTTGGTCAACTTCTTTAAGTATTGCTTGATTAGCATTTTGACTTATGTATATTTTTAAGTTATGTTCAAATTTTCTTCTTGATAAATCCTTATAGATTGAAAGATGTGAAGAAACTGATTCTCAAAGACAAATTCCTACTTGGTCAACTGTATGGCCCTGCAAATGATTATTTGTGATAGTAAATGCAGTGAATTTTATTATGCATTTCAGGGTCTTTCTGGTTTTTGCTTTGTTTGCCTGCTGAGCTGAAGAAGCATGGTATAATTTGGGGATTTTCAAAATTGAAATTTGCTGCAAGTGAAATGTGGGTTATTATAGAGTTGTAGCCAAGGGTTCTGACTGTACAAAGTTTGGTGATGTTGCTTCAGTGTATCTCCTTTACAACCAAGCAAACATAATGGGGAATTTCAGCCCATTATTAAATACTTTGTGTGCCTACAATACCAAGTGTGGGGGCACACATATCCCCAATTTGATTTTATTACTCATCATGATCTATACCAACTTACCCTGAAATCTAATTATATGCCCAATGTAGTGTATTGCCCATTTTATTTATATAAATCACTGTAAGAATTTTAAAAAGACAAATTTCCTTGTTGCAGCAGAAAGCACCATCATTTCGCCCAAGTTGTGTGTCAATCAGTACCACAATGGCCAAGATATTGGTGTGACAGACAGATGGCTTTTCATTTTTATATAGTACATTTGGTAGTCATCTATACATTTCATATCATATATATATATATATATATATCTGACATCACAATCTGTATTTCACATAGTACTAAGACTGTATCCATACTAACTACAGCAAATATTACAGAGAATATTTAAGGATTATTATGACTTCTATATTGCTTTCTTCACCCACCTGATGCTTCTGGCTCTCTGTTTGATGTTGGGAAGCAAGTAGCTACAGCTGCATGAAGAATGTTTCGATTTCCATCACATCTCTCTTCCAACAAATTTTGGATACTCAAATGACTATATGATGAGGAACCTTCAGAGATACACAAGAAAAGAAAAAGTATTCTCTACTTTACAACAAATGAAAAATTTTCCTATGTTCTGGTTTATAGAATAATAATATATACTGTTTTAGAATAAAGCATTAAACGTTCCACTGAACAGTTTGTGAGTAATTAAACTTTAAACTAATCTTCTGCAGGTACTTCAACTTCATCAAACCAAAAAAAAAAACAAAAGGAACTCACAATGACATTAAATACTAAGTAAAAATATTTGGTGGATACACCCAGCATTGCAGCATACTAATATTATCTATGATTCAAAATGTGCTTATCAGGTTAATTACGTTTCACCAAAAGTGAATAAAAATATACATTAAAAGTGACCTAAACAGGGTATATGTTTCTAATGATATTTAAAATTGTATGAGTTTTTCCTAACTTTTACAACAGAGTGTAATCCTATCCATCCTTTATATTGTAAAGTAGATCATAGAAGAAAAAAGCTCCTGGTTCACTCACCAGCATTTCGATCACCTTCAAAAGACACAAGAGTCTGTCTAACACCCTCTGGGTCACACTTCAGGATAGATGGTAACAATGTCTGATTCTTAAAAAAAAAGAAATAATGGTTTCAAACTTCCTTCTGCTGGTAATAAATTGGAGAGGTTCACTAATTTAATAATAACACAAATGACAGTATCTGATAATATTATTTGCATATTTAACTGGCAGTTCAGTTGGCAAAGTCTTAAGTGCTTTGTTTGCACATTCATTTCTTTTGCTCCTTTAAAACAAATGACAATATTCAGCTAAGCTGTTTACTAACTCTAACTATAACAGAATCTAGAATGGAGTATCAATTATCAAGTATAAATACTAGTTTTAGATTTAGTTAGTATGGAAGAGAATATGCTATCTACACAATGATGTCAAATAATAATGTGTGTGTTTGTTTTTACTAAAGCAGCTGGTAATTTGGGGGGAAAATAAGCTATGTTAACTATAGATTAAAGCTTATACAGTAATACACATAGTACCGAATTTTAAACATCTATTCCACACCACAGGCAATTCTCTCTACAGATAACACAAGTATTATGGATAATCAGCTTTCTTAAGAATGACAAAACTCCATTCAGTGCCTACCTCTAGTACCAAAACAATGACAGATACTTGATTCTTCTGATTGTTTGTTACATCTTTCAAAGGATGAACTCCAAGACCAATAACTCTTGCTGGAGGCATGTCCAGCCAAACAGGGTCTTTAATATTCTCAGTGCAATCTTTACCCAGTGGGTAGATAGCACAGTTGCCATCACGCAATAATGTCACCATTTCATTCTGTAACAACAATATTACTTAAAGTCAGCCTAGTTAATACAATCCAGTCTCACCATTTACCAACAATGTAGCCATTCTACTTTGCAAAACAAACCATAACTTAATGTTTATCCAGTAAAAAGATTTTAGTTACCATTTAGCAACAACATTATCATTTCATTCTGTAAAATAAATCACAACTCGTTGTCTACACAATGAATAGAAAACTGTTATTATTCAACAGTAATGTTCTCATTTTTAACAAATTATGACTTATTGTTTCTTAATTGTGATAAAAAAAAACATCAAACAGCTGCATAATAAATTGTTTAAGAAGTTTCCAAGGTTTATGCACACAAAATTGTTTCCCAGGTCCACAGCTTCTGCCAAAATGACTTATACAACAGTAGTCATTCTATAGACTATATGTGTTGTTTACACTGTTAAAGCAAAACATTTTTAATTTCAAGCAAAAAAAATTCTGAATTTCATATTAAAAACTACAATTATAAGAGGCATTTGTTAGGTGCTTAAAAATTTCAGGTCTTGGGCCCATAGGTCTGAGAATTTTTGGCATTTTAGTATGATATTGATCATGTTTTTTAATTAAAATTTTTCAAGACACCGACTAGGGATTCAGGGCACTGTCAAACAGAATTAGGGCACAGTGCCAGTGCCTACCGATGCCTCTGATTGTAATAAATTTTTAAATGCTAATATACAAATTTTACCTTCAACCAATACTAATATAGAAAGTATAAATGACATCTGAAGAAACCACATACAACACAGAAATAAAATTACCATAAAAAATATTTGATTCATCATCAATTACTATACAAAGTTACATCAACATGCACAAACATACAAACAAGATATGTAACTTAAATTTTCCTTAGTTACCCAACTTTGAAAACAAAAATATAAATCAAAATTAGAATGAACTATTTTCATATAAAACAAGCTTTAAAAAATTTATCACCTCTCCACAACAGAATAGAGATACAAGTCGTGGGTCTTTTCCAAGGAAAGACTGAGTGTCTGTAGGAAAAGGACTGTCTTGTTCAGGTTTTCCAGATCCCAAGCTATACAACACATAGCTCAGCTTATTATTGTTTTTCACAACAGCATGGATTCCTGGAAAAACAAAACCAGAATATACAATCACTGTGGATAACACAAACTAATGATCATAAGTTACATACAGATAATTCATGACAGGAAACAGCAACTTTTAATTTCTTCTGAAATAATATTTTTACATTTATATCCTTAATACAAGCTTTCTTTAAATTTTTAATGGTCCATGTTGAAAATGTTTGTAGTAAAAAACACATCACTGGTTGCACTCTCATTTTATTTTTACAATTTTATCACCTTTTGCAGACTAACAAAACCACATGTTCAAAAAAATAACTATATAGGAACCATATAGCCCCATAACAATAACCTTTACTAAATCTACTACTTAATACTTCTATTAACTTTTTAAATTAAAATGTATCTCAAGAAATATACATTGCCTATTCTTAGAATCCACACAATGTTCAATTAAGATGAGGTTATTAGACTGCCATTATACTTAAATTTGAATCTAGTCTAAATCTTCATAACTCAGATATGTATAAATTCATATTGTAAACGAAATACCTTTTGATTGCTTTGCTTTTACACAAACAAATGCAGAATATTACTTGAATATACTTTCAATCATCAGAGCTACAACAGTGTCATCACAAAACATGCTACTAGTGCATGTAGCAATACTTCATATACAGCTTATACACAGTTCTACCTAGTAGATTTCCATGGTATTATTTATAAGCTTGATAACTGAGAAAAGATACATGTTCTTGTCTGCCATCTCTAAATCACATTCTTGATTTCAATGATAGCACTTCAGAAAGGTACGCACATTTTTTAGGAGCTTGGAGACAATATATACATCTATATAGTTTTTAAGCATATTTTACTTTTACACGTAAGAAAAAAATTATGACTAATTGCATTAAAGAATCAAGAACTATACTTTACAAGTAAAAAAAAAGTGATGTGAATTTTTGTTTCTCAAAGTTTCTAAGGGGAGGGACACCAAGATGATGAAAAATAAGAAATAAATTTCATAATGTATAATAAAACAAAGTCAAGTTCTTCAAAGAAACAGCTAACAGTCACAAATAAAAAGCAAAACAGACTGAGAGTAAATAAGATAGATTTTGTGCTAAACAGTGGACAGCTGTATTAATAGCTTGATACAGAAGGGTTATCTACAGCAGGTGCAATGATAAGAAGTTTTATTCTGGTTATCGTAAAATTCAAATTCTATAACATTTGCTGTATTACAAGAATAAAATCAAAGGAAATATACATTTAGGATTACTTGCTAGCTGCACAAACAGGAACACATTGAAGCTAAAGAAGTGTAGGATAAAAATAAAATTGAAAATAAGACAGAAAGTAAGCCACAAAAAATAAATTAAACAGCAATCAACTAAAATATACCATGAGCATCTACGCTGAAAGCAAGGATCTGGCCAGAATCAGGAATGTTAACTTTCCTAGGAGTTCGCTGGAAACAGTCTGGGACTCGTGGTGTAGTTCCACCTTTCACTACTTGGAGTTCATCTTTCCGAAGAAGCCGACAATCTTGAAGAACAGTTTGAATGTCCTCACCATTTCCTGAATTTGATGCACTTAATGGCACCCCTGATCTGTCAGTTGTTACTGGGGTGTCTTTAACAGACATTGAAAATCGAACAGCAGCATAAGCTCCATCTACCTAAACATTTAAAAATCTGATCAAACTAAGTAATTAAATATGACTGTTAGGAACGTTTAAAATATGTGAAATTAGTCTGTCTATAACATCAGTACGAGGTAAATTAGCTAGCTTTTCTTACAATGAGAATTCCTATAAATTGTTTGATTAAACCTTTTGATACAATCAACACATTCATATTTATTCAATCCTATTAGTTATTGTTATAAATTATGATTGTAAAAATGTTTACCACAAATTAAGTTTTTAAAAGTGAACTACTTAAACAACAAAATAATCAGGTTTTTAATAATATTTTAACTTGTCTATAGGTATTAAGGAGTTGAAACAAAACCTTTTTAAATGTTTTGAAACACAAAAACATCCTCATATCAATAACAGACAAAGAAAGAAAATCCTCACTTTTAAGACTCGACCAATTGGGAGATTTTTTACATCTTCAACAAATATTACATCCTTCAGCACCCAGGCCTCTTCATCTTTCCTCTCTGCATCATCTTTCATAGCACTCTGTCTATGTTTACGTTCTGTGATGAAATATTACCAATAACTTGAAAAAAATTCATACAATAACAATGAAACATTACAGATATTTAACAAATTAAGAAAGAATCTAAACCATGCTCTGATCAAGATACATTATTTATAACAATATTTATACTAAAAAAATCATCATACAACACACAGTGTTAGTATGACTATATCCAAAAGAATTCACTTTTTTTTTTGACTTGCTACATCATTACTAAACCAGTAATAACTCCACAATATTAATTCTTCCCATTGAACCCCCTAGTCATTAGCTGGCTATTTGACTACCTTATCTAGTATGTAGTCTTAAATTAATAGACTACTTTAGAAAGCTTTACACACCAGTTTTTCTAATTGTTACACGTTTGAACACACAAATTTCAATATAGAAAAAGTGTGTGGTTCCAAATTCAGTTTGTAGAAGGCAACAAATGAGTATCAAGGTAATTATTTTAAAAGTTTTTCATTAATTGAGAGCTATCTACACACAGCTGCTCCTAATTTTGAACTTAAAAGACTCGAGGGAAGATATCTAGCACTCACTAACAACTATTGGACTACTCTTCTCCAAATGAAGAGTGAATTTTTGACCATCACTCTTATAAAACATCCATTACCCCAAAAGTGGAGCATATTTTTGATGCAACAGTATGTAGACCACATACCCTCAGATTCACAGTTCAGGCTCACAAACCACTAACTACATCATGTCCAACTTACCAAGTTAATAAAAAATCATAAATTTTCATTCTCCAATATCATCACTTAAACTGATGCTATGAAAAAATAGGGTGTAATTTATTATGTATACAAAAAAATGTGACAGTAAAATATAAAAATTGAATCTCAAACATCATTAAAATGAAGAGTTGCTTGAACTAGTCAATCTTAGTTGTCAGAAAAAATAATTTTCAAGTTTTTCCCAAGACTGGGGTGACTTTAAAAAAAAAATGTGACAGAAATAGTACTGAAAGTTTAAGTTGCTAAATTAAGATTATCAAAGTAAAATGCATGCAGGGGTGGATAATTAGATTACTATATAAATAATGTTGGATCTGACCAACAACAACAAAGCTTGAATAAGTTGCAATACCACGAATCAATTTATTGTATTTAAATGCTACAAGTAGGAGTTACAAAAAATTACAATAAAGTATTTACTTTAACCAAAAAAAATTTTGTTTTATTGCATTGCAAAATAAATTTCTATATGAAATTTTCTGAAACATGAGTTGAACTTTCCACAGATTATGTAGCTTTTGCAAATAGAAATATTTTTATATATATGACATTTGTTTGAATTCTCAATTTTGAAAATTCAAATACATTTCTCTTAAAAAATTTTTAAGAAATCATTAGAAATGATGATCTGCGTTGTTGATTTTAAACACTGATTTTTGTCATCCTACATTTTCATAAAGCTTTCTGAAAGTTTTTATTTTACAAAAATCTACACAGTCTCTGCTTTGATTAGAAAAATGCTTCACACAGTTTCACTGCATTAATGATCTTCCATGTATAACAGAAATTACATTTTTACCATATTAAACATATCAAGGCAACTTACATTACTTTTTAATCAGAAGGTTTCATTTAATAAATTTTAAACTTCTTTCATATTCATTTATATATATTTTTTATTGATTTTCTATGTCCATTCAAGATATCACTTAGGATGATAAGACCTAATGTAAACATGGCAAATCCTGAAAATAATCGAAGCCAAGCAGGGGGGGTGGGGGGGGGGGGTCGGCACCCAAAATCCTGCATTTTGATGCATTTTAGTACTTAAAATTCACTTAAACAAGTTACCCCATTTTTCTTACATCAATGATTATCAAATACATGCAAGAAATATCAAATCTGATTCCCCAAGTTAATGTAATGCTTTTATAACTTACACTCAGTACTGC